TCACACACACACACACACTCTCATACACACACTCCCTCACACACACACACGCTCTCACATACACACACATGCACACACTCACTCACACACACACACGCACTCACATACACACACACACTCACTCTCATATACACACACACACTCTCACACACTATCACACACACTCTCTCACACACACTCTCGCACACACGCTCTCACACACACACACGCACACACTCTCACACACACACACACACACTCTCACACACACGCTCTCACACACACGCACACACGCTCTCACACACACACACGCACACACTCTCACACACACACTCACACACACACGCACTCACACGCATGCACGCACACACACGCACACACACTCACTCACACACACGCACGCACGCACGCAGGCACACGCATGCACGCACACACAATCACTCACGCACATACTCTCACACACACACTCACACACATACGCACTCACACACATACAGACATAGTATATAGTATACTACATATAGATTATAGTATTATATATATATAGTACACTGTATAGTGTGTGTGGATATATATATATATATATATATTTATATATGAAAATAAATATTTTTGTAAATTAATAAAAAAATATTTCATATTTATAACTGAAAATTACGCCTTTCATTAATTAATGTATTTCATATATATGACTGAAATATACACCTTTCATAAATAAGTATAAAATGATTTTATATTAATTTTGAGTTATAGTTGTTCATTATCTTATTTTTAAAACTTTTGTTTTTTGAAAATCACATTTTTCATTCTCCGTCACAGCTATTCCACAATTTTACAGATACACAATATTATATTATATTATATTATAAATAAAATGTGAAAACATAATATATATAAAATATACAGAAAATACTATATATATATGATGAATTTCTTTTGTGTTAATTAATGAAAAGAATAATTTTCAGTCATGTATAAAACACCTTTTTATCAATTTATGAAAATACATTTTAATGAAAATACTTTCATATTAATTTCAGTTATGCACAAGTATGGGTAAGTTTTGTTTTTGTATCTTATATAGATTAAATTTAGCAATGGATGTGACGCTTATTATGCAAAAAGTGTTTCAAAATAAGCTAAAGGACTTTTATTGTTTAATATGTAAAATGGAGTATAATTATTATGAAATTGTGTCTGAAATACAGTCTTGATGGTGATAAATGAGGGTTGTGCTCACAGGCTTGTATTTACTACAAGCCACATTACAGTAAGTTTGGCATTATATGGTTATAATTTGAATGTGAATCTGAGTAAGCTGTGGTAGTGTTATTCATGAATCATTTGCACTCAGAGATCTGCGTGTCGGCTCACGAGAGTCGTGTTTGTGTCTCAGGTTTGGATGCTGTGTGTCTGAACAGTTCTGATTCTGTGTGCGCTTCTACAAGCCACATTACAGTAAGTTTGGCATTATATGGTTATAATTTGAATGTGAATCTGAGTAAGCTGTGGTAGTTATTATTCATGAATCATTTGCACTCAGAGATCTGCGTGTCGGCTCACGAGAGTCGTGTTTGTGTCTCAGGTTTGGATGCTGTGTGTCTGAACAGTTCTGATTCTGTGTGCGCTCTGATGCGAGAGCCAAAGCCCGACGTGTCCCGTCTGGACCTGCGGGTCGGCCGGATTCTGGACGTCCGGAAACATCCAGATTCAGCATCACTGCACATCCAGGAGGTGGAGCTAGGAGACCCCGCCCCCAGAACCGTGGTCAGCGGACTGACCAATCACATGCCTCCAGAACAGGTTAGACACACCCCTCAATCGCATTAACAAACCTTTCAAAAACTGAGATAAGAAGAACTTGTAAATCTTGTAGACCTTTTTTTTTAATCTCCAATATATACTCAAAACCTACTAAATGAATAAATAAATGTCTGATATGGTGAATATAAACAGCTGCTGACTACATAACAAAAATGTAAAGGTCCATAAATCCCTTACAATAAAATAATATTATTGTATTTTATTTATTAGACAAAATAAATTGTAAGCATATTGTAAATGTGTATATTTTCCAAATAAACCCTTTAACTTAAATATTAATACAGTCGGAACTGCAAATATTTTCTATTCTTGATTATTTATATATATATATATATATATATAGGACAGTATTGGTCAAAAAATATACACAACCACATAAAAGGTTAGGGTAAGATTATGATTATTAATGTTTTTTAAAGTAGTCACTTCTGCTCAGCAAGGCTGCATTTATTTGATCAAAAATGCAGTAAAAACTGTGAAATATTATTAGATTTTAAAACAGCAGTTTTCTATGTGAATATCTGTTAAAGTGTAATGTATTTCTGTGATGCGCAGCTGTATTTTCAGCATCATTACTCCAGTCTTCAGTGTCACATGATCTTCAGAAATCAGTATAATATGCTGATCTGCTGCTCAAGAAACATTATTATCAATGTTGAAACAGTTCATATGTTTGTGGAAACTGATGCATTTTATTTTTCAGGATTCACAGATGAATAGAAAGTTCAAAAGAGCAGCATTTATTTGAAATAGAAATCTTTTGTCACGTTATTAATGCCTTTACTGGCACTTTGGATGAATTTAATGCGTCCTTGATCAATAAGAGTATTAGTTTCTTTTATATATGACTCTAGCCCTCGACTCAGTATGATTGTATGATTATGTGTGTGCAGCTGGTGGGGTGTCTGGTGGTGTTGTTGTGTAACGTGAAGCCAGTCAAGGTCCGAGGCGTTCAGTCGCAGGCCCGCCTCCTCTGCGCTGTCAATCAAGAGAGAATGGAACCCTTAACTCCGCCCACTGCCGCTCAGCCCGGCGACAGAGTCACTTTTCAGAGTTACCCCGGTAAGAGGCGCTCGCCAGAACATCTGACTCATTTCCGCTTCATCGACTTGTAACAGGATTGTGTCTGATGTGGCAGGTGAACCTGAGAAAGAGCTGAATCCCAAACAGCGGATCTGGGAGCGTTTACAGCCCGACCTGTGCACAGATGCGAAGGGCGTGGCCACATATAAGGGCGTGGCCTTTGAGGTCCGTGGGAAGGGCCTCTGTCGGGCCCCGAGTGTCAGCAACGGCGGGATCAAATAACAGACGAGCTTCATTTATGTGTGACATCAAAATCTCACAAATAAATTATTAAAAACTACCAAAGGCCTCGATGCTCTGCATAAACAAAGCACAAAAAAAACCAAACGGGAATATTAGTCAGAAAGAGCTGAGACTCAAGATTCAAACATACTGCAGAAACCAAAGCATTTCGAGACTTGACCACATGATAATAGAGTTGAAGCAGGTTTGAGCAGCTTGTTGCACCCTCTACTGACCAACAGCAGATACAACACTCAGAAACATGACAGACATTATTCATCACATGTCTGCATCATCATCATCCTCCACTGATTCAGCAACTAAAGCGGATTTACGACTCGACCGATAATTAAACATTGTGGACACATAGTACCAATGATCAAGATCGCATAGAATATTCAATAGAATTAACTCAATTTATACTCATATTTTTTTTGTTTGCATTATTTATACATTATATATATAATATAAGTATATATCATATATAAAACATAATATTTAATACAAAATAATATACATATAACAAATAAATACAATTAATATATATATATGATTATGGAAATGTATTTGCATTTTCGTGAGTACAAGCAAACATGTAATATAGAGAGGTTTTAGATTATATATTATTGTATATCATATAATTAATATAACATAATATGTAATATATAATGAATTAAAACGTGTTTATGGAAATTTATTTGCATTCATGAATACAAGAACATCAAGAGGTTGTAGATGTTTTTATTGTACATCATGTAATATAGAATTTGTGTGATAAATTAATACAACAGAATATTCCTATTTATTAAATAATATATACTAATATAACATACAGTTAATATTTATGATGTTTATGGAAATGTGCTTGCATTTCAAGAAAACAGAGAGGATAACTTATGGTAAAGCGTAATCAAGTTAATATTCAAATACGTTGAATATTGTAAAAGCTGATCGCTTTTATAAGTTTAGGGTTCAGTTTTTGCATTTCTGTAGAAACACGTGTTTGATGTGCTCTGACTCAACGCTGCTCGGAGTGGGCGTGTCTATGAGCGCAGGTGGGCGTGGCCGCGGGTGTGGGCGGAGACTATAGCCCCGCCTCCCAAGCACATCGTTTAAGTCTTTCTTCCGGAGCATGCACTCTGTTAAACAGGTAAATCGCCTTCTTTACATCTCTTCTTTCTTTTTTTTTTAACTCATGCATGTAATTTGACAACTCAACGGTGTTTTACTCACACGGTGTGAAGATTTGAACTTTCAGCAGGTAAATAAACAGGTTCTTTCTCTTTTGCGTATGAACTGACTTTATTGTAGCTAAGCGTTTGTAAACATGATAAAAAAAATTGATAGAAGGTTCTTGAGAGATCCGGTCTGATGTGGTTGAGATTCCTTTCTGCAAAGAAAGTTACAGAGACTAGTGAGCTTCCTACCTGGAATGGATCAGGTGCGCTTTTTGATGTCTAATACGTTTTGAGGCGGTGATTGTGTTTATTTCGGGATCTCGAGATGGGTTTTACCGGCAGCCGCGCGCTGATCGATCATTATTCCATTAGGATCCGGGTGGTTCTGGATGTTTGAAGGTCTGGAGGCGCACAGGTGAGAGGTCGATGACCTCCGCGGCAGCTCAGCAATGCTGTCAGATCAGATTCACTGTCAAACATTTACACACAGTGAGTCAAACATCCTGTGACTTTCACAAGACCGCACTGATATAATGTATCATCCCAGCTGACAAAATACGATACATTATATCAGTGCGGTCTTGTGAAAGTCACAGGATGTTTGACTCACTGTGTAAAACATTGTTATTGTTTTTCGCTAACGTTCACAATAAGTTATGAAAACATTATGTTCTATGATCGTTCAAAACATCCGTTTTTTTCCTGGTTATGCCATTCCATTTCGTCATTTGCGAACGTTTGAATGTTCTCAAAAACAAAAGGTAACATTTAAAATATGTTAGACGACCCTGATAGCACTCGTACATCACGGAGACGTCTATTAGACGTCTGCAAGACGTATTTTTTAGTGTTTGCTCATCTGCAATAATACGTCTATAGGACGTTTCCTATCAGATGTCAAACAGACGTTTAGAAGATGTCCATAAGATGTTATGTTCATCATAGAGACGTCTATCAGATGTTTGCACACAGCAGATGCTTTCCAGATCTTTAACAGACGTCTTGCAGATGGACCTGTGCTACCTGGGAAGAGTAACTTTGAAAGAACCTTGCCAGACCATTTTGAGAACGTTCCCTGTAATATGATGGTTTTTGTACATGCACCGTGGCAAAACTGTGGTATTCATTGAAATACCACGGTATATGCATATGGTAATCATTCAGTACTGTGGTAACATACTGTGGTTTTACCATCTAATGCCACCATTCAGTAGACAAATACTGGATGTGCCTTCCCAGAGAGCACAGGTACGTCTGTTAAAGATCTGGAAAGCATCTGCTGTGTGCAAACATCTGATAGACATCTGATAGGAAACGTCCAATAGACGTAGTATCGCAGATGAGCAAACACTCTAAAAAATACGTCAGATGTAATGCAGACGTCTCCGTGATGTACGAGTGCTATCAGGGATATATACATACAAATAAATAAATATATAGGAAATCATTTTGCCAGTTCAGTCGGGGGAGAATCAGCATTTCACATGAGAACGGCACAAACCGGTCTGACGGCTGTAGGGTCAGCAGAGATGTGAAAGAGCGAGGTGAACATGTCTGTGTGTCACAGGTTTCAGGGTGTGTCAAACACACACATTCACACTGAAACGCCCGTTCTGGTGTGCCGTGAACTAAACAAACACACACACACACATTCACGCTAAACTGCCTAAACGTTTGTGGCCTGAAATGAATAAACACACCCACCTATAGATGCATGTACATGCATGTGTTTATGCGTTTGTTCACACATGCAACAATCTGCAGTTTCAAAATGATCAAACTTGGCTGTTCAGTATGATACAGGGAGTCAGCAAGTGTTTGATTTATGCATTGATAATCTTGCTTTTGATGTTGTATTCACTGTTGCATTTGATAAACAAACCTCCAGAAGGTTCATTTATAGCAGTAAGAAAATTAATTAACCAGTGGTTTATTTATATATTGTGTTATTATTTTAGTAAGTTTTGTTGTTCTGTATAATTATTTGTTGAGAGGCAAAGGATTTATCATCTTCAGTGCTTTAACTATATGCCTTGTTTGTAATTTTTTTTATGCATTCAATTAAAAAAATATTTACCAACACTCATGTTTTTCTACTGACATTTTTGCTCAAAATTTGATTGAGAATTCCAAATAACAGTGTTTATTTGAGACAATACTCGAATCATTCACTGAGTTAAACATGCGACATAAATTGAGATCATGTGACAATAGTTTTAAATGTTTATATATTGTATATTTAATATTAAATTTTGTGTTAGTTGTAGTGTATGAGCGATGGAAGCATCTCATCTTCTGGACGAACGAGAAGATGACAGACCCAACGGTGGCTACCATGTGATGGTGACGATAGATGACAGACCACGCCCCCAGACCACGCCCACCGGGCGGCCACACCCCTCTCCGGTCACGCCCAGTGGCGGTCAGGTTGACGACAAGCCAGACGACAGCCAGCCGACACATTTGGCGAGGGGTTTCCGTAAAGTCTTGCGGAAAAACCAGGACTACATCCGCATCCCCGTCCCGAGGTCCAGCGGCTCCCGGCTGCCTTCGGAATGGTGGAAGACGGGAATTGCCTTCATCTGGGCCGGATTTAACCTCGTCCTTACTACCGTCATGATCACCGTCGTCCACGAGAGAGTCCCGGATAAGTCCGTCAGCCCGCCGTTACCGGACAAGTTCTTCGATTATGTGCCGCGTGTGGAGTGGGCGTTTTCCGTCACCGAGGTGAACGGGATGATCCTGGTGGCTCTGTGGTTCATCCAGTGGCTCTTCCTCAAGCACAGGTGAGCATTTAGTGAGAGTCCAACCCTGATAGCACACATCCATCACGGAGACGTCTATTAGACGTCTGCATTACATCTGCGAGACGTATTTTTTAGAGTGTGTGCTCATCTGCTATACGCCTATAGGACGTTTCCTATCAGATGTCAAATAGACGTTTAGAAGATGTCTTTAAGATGTTTATGTTTTAGAATGAATGTAAAACTGACATCTTAAAGACGTCTATAAGATGTTTGATGCTTTCCAGATGAAGAGATCTTTAACAGACGTCTTGCAGACGTACCTGTGCTCTCTGGGAACTTGGGCTGCATGATTAATCGAAATAAAACTTAAATCGTAATATGGCTTGGTGCAGTTATCAACTTAATTAAAGGAGTAGTTCACTTCCAGAATGAAAATTCTGTCATCATTTACTCACCCTCCACTTGTTCTGTCTTCAGTTGAGCACAAAAGAAGATATTTTGAAAAATGTTGGTATCCGAACAGTTGATGAGCACCACGATTTTTTTCCGTACTCAGCTGTTCAGATGCTAACATTTCAGTGCGTCATTGTGTTCATTTACACTTGAGCAGCTCATGATCCAGTGCTTTTAGTATCTCGGTTCACAGTAAATGCTGCTTTGCATAAACTCAATCTGCATCTGAGTCTGAACGTACATTTAGAAACGCAACGTGCGCCAAACATCTTCACAAACTTGTAATGAGAAGCACTTAGAAACCGGATGTTGTCACCAAAAGAGAGGCTTTATTATTAATATTATATAGGAATATTATGGCAATTTAAAATGTGTGAATATGTAATTTATTCCTTTGATGCAAAACTGAATTTTCAGCATCATTACCACAAAAATATTGTGCAGCACAACTGTGTTCAACATTGATAATAATCAGAAATGTTTCTCGATCAGCATATTATACTGATTTCTGAAGATCATGTGACACTGAAGACTGGAGGAATGATGCTGAAAATACAGCTGCACATCACAGAAATACATTACAGTTTAACAGAGATTAAAGCAGAAAACAGGTATTTTAAACTGTAATGATATTTCAAAATATTACTGTATTTTTGTATGCAAACACAAATAAATAAATGCAGCCTTAGTGAGCAGAAGAGACTTATACAATGTTAATTATTATAAACTTCTGACCAGTAGTGTGTGTATCAGTCACGACACAGCCCTACAAACACGCTGTAATTTAAAGTTTCATTTTAAATCGCAGTTGCAGTTTTTCAGTCAGTCAGATCAATCACAATTAGATTGTTTCCCCCAGTCGTGCAGCCCTATGTCTTGGTGCAAGTTAAATAAAAAAGCTTTTCAGTTGCAAATATAAGCTCATTATACTCACTCAATCCCATGATTCCTCCTCCTCCCGTTGTTTTGACAGAGCCATCGTGGGCCGAAGGTTTTTCTTCCTGCAGGGAATGTTGTATTTGTACCGTATGGTGACCATGTACATCACAACTCTTCCTGTTCCCAGCATGCACATGCACTGCGCCCCGAAGGTGAGTGCCGCTCAGTGAACACAAACACATATGAATGAGTGAACTATCATGCAGTGTGCAAATAAAAGTCATGCAATACTGATGTAATGCATCTTTATACAAGTTTAGTACATTCAAAATAAATGCAATCAAACGCATATCAGTGTCAAATTTTATTATTTCACTATATTGTACGTAAACTGAAAAGATGCCCTTTGCACTTGTGCAAAATTATGGTAATTTCACCAATATTGGCTGATATTTTGACATTTTGAGATGATTGCTACTGCATGGTTAATGCACACAATTTCCCAAAATTTTCAAATAAATTTTAACTAACATTTTACGTAAAATAACTAGTGCTGTCAAACGATTAATCGCATCCAAAATAAAAGTTTTTGTTTGCATAATATGTGTTTCGTGTATATTTATTATGCATATATAAATACACACAAATGCATGTATATATTTCGGAAAAATTTTATTTTTATATAATAAATATATTTATTTATAATATAAATTATATGAATATAAATATTCAAGTATTGTATATATCAGTATTGTAAATACATGTCAATATTTTCAAAATCTATACTGTATGTGTGTGTATTTATATATACATAATTAATATACACAGAACACACAGATATTATGCAAACAAAAACTTATTTTGGATGCGATTAATCATTTGACAGCACTAAAAATAACTCGTATTAACTCGTGTAACTCATACAGTTAATTTATATTACATAACATGTACAGTAAATCAGCCAACCTTCTTTCTAGTATCAGCATTAGCTGTTGAGAAAAACAAGCAGAAAATCAAGATATAAGGGCTTAACATACACATAAAACACTTTCTGAGCTTTTAACCGGGGTGTTTTTTGCACAGCATAGGACGCAATGTTTAATTTTGAGCTTTTAGAGTTATTTTCATCTTCTGAGTTTAAAATCTTCATCAGGATGTGACGCTTTCTCAATTTATATGGCATAGATGACTCACTAGCGTCTCATAATTATTCATCCATCCATACTGTGAGTGTAACCTGTCTTTAGTGCTCTTTGAATTAACCAATAAAATGGCTGTAAAGTAAATGCTGCAAAAAAAAGTCCTAGTGTGTTTATATATATATTTTCGATGCAGAGCATTTATTTCTGCATTAAATTATAGTTTATGATCACATATGAAAGCTTATTTCTGCCACTGAATAAACATATAAAAAAGGCTAATTGTACGTTTTTATCTCACAATATGGGGATATAAAAAAATATCTTGCAATTCTGTCTTTTTTTTTTAATTTTTTTTTATCAGAATTGGGTTTACATCTTGGATTTAATAACTTGCAATTTTATCAGAACTGAGTTAAAAACGTAAAATTGAAAGATATAGTTTATGAGATAGTTTATGACTTGGAATTGTGAGAAAAAGGTTTGAATTGCGAGTTTCTCTCACAATTCCAAGTCATAAACTCCCAATTGCATCCTATAGTAACTTGCAACAGCAAGATGTAAACTCGCAGCTCTCAAAAAAAAAAGAAAAAGTCTGAATTGCAATTGCGAGAAATAAGTCATTTTAATTTGTGAGATGAATTAGCTATGATGTATTTGTGTTGTGTTTTCTGCGTGCAATGCCGAATTGCAGCATGCATTCGTGGGAAGCTTTGGTGTTTCTATCTCATGCCTCTTTTATGTTTGGTCGGCTTCTGTCTGTAGCTCTACGGTGATTCTCACGGCAAGATCGAGCGTGTTTTGCAGCTGGTGTCTGGAGCAGGTTTGTCCATCACTGCCTCTCATCTCATGTGTGGAGACTTCCTATACAGCGGCCACACGGTCATGCTGACCCTCACCTTCCTCTTCATCCAGGAATGTGAGTATGAGGAAACCATCATCATCATCATCATTTCCATCGGCTCTCAGTCCACTTGCATTCCCACTGTTGTTCTTTTTAACCCAGTTAAGGATTGGTTATGTTTTGAAGTGAGTTGTTTTGTGTGGTAGACTCGCCCCGCTCGTTGGTGTGGCGTTGCTATCATGTGATCTGCTGGTTGCTAAGCGTGGTGGGCGTGGTCTGTATCCTGATGGCGCATGAGCATTACAGCGTGGACGTAGTGGTGGCGTATTTCATCACCTCACGCCTCTTCTACTGGTACCACACCATAGCCAACAACCAGGTAAAAGCTTATTAAAAACGGCTTTGTTTAACTTCCATTCCATATTCTTGCATGGAAACTCATGTGGAAGTTTGCAAATTTGCTGAGAGTCAGCTGTGTGATGACACGATTAATAATACATATTCACCTATGTTAAAAACCTGGGAACTATCTTAATGGTGCAGGTCAAACTCACCCTAATTGGATTCAATACTTAGTCAACATTTGAAGTGGATCAAAAAAATGCATCAAAGTTGTCCTAAGACAAGAACGCATTTTGATGAAAGGTTTTGATCCACTTCAAATGTTGACTACTGTAGAGTAAAAACACACTATGAAAAATGAACAAATAACAAAATCAGGTAAAAAAAACAACTATGGAAGCTTGTTTCCACCATGGAAAAAAATGATTAAATAAAGTTAATTGCGACTTTAAATCACGCAAATCTGACAAGATCTGAAAAAAGTCAGAATTGCAGGATATTAACTCAGAATTGTGATAAGGAAAGTTAGAAATGTGAGATAAGTCAAACTTTTTTTTTTCCGTGGCAGAAAAAAAAAAACCCAGAGAGATGTAAATTCGAAACCGTGAGGGAAAAATGTTAGAATTCTGACTTTATATCACATAATTCAGACTTTTTTCCTTTAGAATTGTGAGTTTATACCTCATAATTTTGACTTTTTTCTTCAGAATTTTGAGATAATTTTTTATTCTTTTATTCTGTGGCGGAAATGGGCTTCCATAAAAAACAGTAGACTTTTAAAGGGATAATTAACCCAAAAATTTAAATTCTGTCATTAATTATTCACCCTCATGTCGTTCCAAACCCGCAAGACCTCTGTTCATCTTCGGAACACAAATTAAGATATTTCTGATGAATTCTAAGAGCTCTCTGAGCCTCCCATAGACAGCAAGGTAACTACCACTGAACATAAACAGCATATGCTATTCTGTGTCAGCTGCGTCACGTTGTTTTCATTCAAATCAAAGCATAAACAACGTAGAAAACGTATTCGCGTGACGCAGCTGACACAGAATAGCATACGTTGTTTGCGTTCAGCTGATATTCTCCAAAATGGCGCTATAGGGTGACGCGGAGGAGACGAATTGTTGAATAAAGTCATTATTTTTGTTTTCTTTGCGTACAAAAAGTATTCTCGTAGCTTTGTAAAATTACGGTTGAACCCCTGATGTCACATGGATTATTTTAACGATCTCCTTGCTACGTTTCTGGACGTTGATTGTGGTAGTTACCTTGCTGTCTATGGGAGGGTCAGAGAGCGCTCAGAATTCATCAAAAATATCTTAATTTGTGTTCCGAGGTCTTACGGGTTTGGAACGACATGAGGGTGAGTAACTAATGACAGAGGTTTCATTTTTGGGTGAACTAACCCTTTAACATTAATAGTAACAAATCATAGTAAAATAGAAAAAAGAAATTAGAGATCGAAACATTAAAATATTTTAGCATTTTAAACAGAAGAAGCATTTATTCTGTGTGCTTTCCCTAAGCATGGCTTTTTCGCAACTTTTGACTTCAAGTAGCTTTGGCATTTTGTTTCTTTATACGTCATCTTTGAAGCAGCTGAAATAAAAGCTAACTAGTAGTTTTTCTTACTAAGTTGGACCAAAAGCTAAACATTATGAATTCTGCTTTAAAGGGTTACTCCACCCCAAAATGAAAATGTTGTCATTAATCACTTACCCCCATGTCGTTCCAAACCCGTAAAAGCTTCGTTCGTCTTCGGAACACAATTTAAGATATTTTGGATGAAACCCGGGAGGCTTGTGACTGTCCCATAGACTATCAAGTAACTTACACTGTCAAGGTCCAGAAAAGGATGAAAGACATCATCAGAATAGTCCATCTGCCATCAGTGGTTCAACCGTAACGCTATGAAGCGACGAGAATACATTTTGTACGCGAAGAAAACAAAAATAACGACTTTACACAACAATTCGTCTCCTCTGTGTCTCTCCGCATCCCCGTAGCGCCATTTTGGAGAATATCCGCTGAACGCAAGCAGCGTACGCTCTTCTGTGTCAGCCG